ATATTATTCCAAGTAATAATATTCTTCCCAATTTAATATATAACTATATCTATATCTATAATCTATTCTATAACTATATATAAAGAGGATTGGAGATTTTAGACTGATCTTAACTTCTTCTAAAAATATCTTCAAATAATCACATAGAAGTTACAATAAGAAGTTAAGGAAGTAAAGTAACCGACACCTTTAAAAAACCAACCTTTCATATAACTTCTTCTTAATGGCCTCCAATATTCCATATTTCTCTCTCTTAAATATGCGTTTATTAAGATTTCTTTACCTTTTTTTTTATATGGTTATTAGAATAGTACTATTTTAGTGGTTCTCTCTATTTGTTTTTTATTGATAAGATGAAATAGCCCCTGTTATCATACCCACAATAAGAGAGAAGATGAATTTTAAGGCATGAAATAGGCCTCATAATAATATTTATATGTTACTCCCAATCATTTTGCATTTTAGTTAACTCATAAAGTTAATGTGTCAATATTCAATATTCCTAAAGGATATTATTATCTATAATCATGTAATTACAACATAGATGGAAGATAAAATTGCCAAAAAAATTATTACGGACACTTATGAGACACCGATTTTTTTATATATTATTGATTGAGATGGATCAAATAGAATAGAAAATGCAATTACAAATTTTAAATGAATGATAAATGAGGGTCTTGATCTAAACTACTTAGCGCAATCCATTAAAAAAATTAGAATGAACATAGTTGACATGCTATTTTTCTAAACTATGTTCATCCGATAACGTGACATCTGTGAACCGAATGATAAGCCATCTAAGAGCATTCACATCCATCATACCCATTTGTGTTCTTTAAATGGGTCTCACTTATTTTTTTTACATTATATTACACTTTTAAATTGTTTAAACAACTCAACTACATTTTTCAAATATCCATACAACTCATAAAATTTGTAAAATGGGTCCTACTAAGTACCACAAATATCTTATATTAAATCTTTTTACAATCATTTCCAATTAAATAATTAATTAAATGCACATGTGGCACTTGTAGGAACGTTGTTTAATGTGACAACGGTTGCAAATTAAAAAACGATGTTATTATGCAATTATCTATCATTTTCTGACACAATCACTTTGGTAATAGTGTAGGAATCATATATTTCTACCGATAATTATGCTCTAAGGAGGCGGTTGTTGATTCAGACAAATTCCACAAATTTATTCTACTATATTATGATTCAACTCCGGTCATGCCTATAACTCTGCTAACTCCTCCAAAAATAGCACCACCGTTTTCAAAATAATGTGTATATATGATGGTCAATATATGCCTAATTCTCATGCAAATAAAATTAAATAAAAAACAATAAAATCAAATATAAATGAACTTTTTTTTTAATAAACCACTAATAACCAAACTAATTATAAAACAAAAGAAAAACCTCTATTTCTCTTAATCGATAAACACATTCTCTTAATTTTCATATTAACTTTTCTTCATCATTTCTATTGGATTTCCTTTTTGTTTTTTTAATGTTTATGTTGGAATATTCACCCTTCCAATTCACAATACTCTAACAAAATAAATAAATAAAGATCAACCTAAACATATTTAATAAATTCATTCAATTATATTTAAAAAAAATACCTGACAAAAAATGAATTCTCTTGATAATGAAGTAATGTACCACTCCTTTCACTGCAATAATGGAGTTACTTAAAGTGAATGTGAAATATTTGTGAGTGGCTCAGAGAGATTGGTTTTGCAAGCGAGAGTAGGTAGTATGAACATAAATAATATAGAAAGGGCGGTTGGATTGAAATTGGTGGGAAGTTATTTTTTTACAGGTATCATTTAGTGTTATTAAATAAATGGTTTTGTGAGAATTTTAAATAATATGTAAGGGACAAATATGAGGAAAAAAATAGGTCACTCCAAAAACTCGTATCCCCTTTATATATAGGTATAGATTAATCTTAAGTATGATAAAAACTTCATACAAAATATACACACATTTATTTTTCTATGATGTGCGCATTACAAAAAGCGGACAGACGGACACGGGAGTGCCCGTCTGAACGCTAGTTAAAGATAAGAGCGATTCTAAGAAAAGACAATTGCCTAGACGATATTGGTGGTAGACCTGCAGATATCACTAATCAAAAGTGGAAAGAGATGGATGACAACGTTGTTACCCATTTGCACTTAATAATGGCCGACTCGATATTGTCAAGTATTGCAAAGAAAAAGACTGCAAGGGGGATTTGAGATGCTTTTATTAAATTGTACGAGGTCAAATCACTTCACGCAAGAATTTTCTTAAAAAAGAGGCTCTACACTCTCTAAATAAATGAATCCATATCAATAACAAATCACGTAAACACCATGAATACATTATTTGCTCAGCTCACAGCGTCGGATTTCACGATAGATGAAAATGAACGTGATGAACTTCTATTTCAAAGTTTACCTGATCCATATGATCAATTCATCATCAACATTACAAACAACAATATTGCTAACTCTTTTCATTTTGATGACGTTTCTGGTGGAATTATTGAAGAAGAATCTAAACGCAAGAATAAGGAAGAAAGGTTAGAAAAGCAAACAGATACTTTAGTGATGACGAGAGACAGATCAATGGAGCGAGGATCTAGTGGGAGTCAAGACCTATGCATCATCGCGCCCGCGTAACCTTGCATCGCGACCGCGGTGTGACATCATCGTGTCCGTGTAAACTCCAGAAGCAAAAATGCCTTATTTTTTTTCCTTTTCTTCAAAATTTCTCTAAGTCCCAATTTTCTTCCTCTCGGTAATTTTTGCTCATTTCTTTCACACTTTATTTTGACTTTTGCTCATTATTCTTCTTATTCACATAGGACTCTTTTCGGATGGATCTGAGGCCAGGGACATTGTAGATGTCATGATGGCGTAGGAATAGGGGGTCGCGAGTCTATCATATCCAGTAGTTTATAGTATTTGTATTTTGAATTCACTATCGGTTGTATGATTTAATTTTTTAAGTAGAAAATGATAGTATATCTAAAACATATCTTCTATTTCATCAGAGTTTCTCAAAATCTTGTCTAGTGTGGTTACGAAAATATATCTTTAAATTCTGTCTAGCCTGAATACGGATATGCATCTTCGGAATAAATATATTGGGCGTGCCTTACTTTTAACGCTTTGATTAAATAGAAGTGTGCGTCAAGAGATACATGTCCGAAATATAAGGAGCAACTTAAAAATTTTAGGGTGTTGTTCCACCACTTATGGCGGGATTAATAATTTCCTATATTTACAACATATTGGATGGGTAAAATTATCCAATTTTTCTTATGGGATAACGAAGTTAGACTCTTATTAAAAAAAGACAATTATTAATCTCATCCTAAGGGATGAAAAACACCTAAGAAAATTTAAAAATGTCTCACTTGATTCCAAAAATACATCTCTTGACACACCTTATATACACATAATTTATTCGTTTTTTAACACACTTCAATGCATCTCCAGACTCCAATATACACATAATTTATTCATTTTTTAACACACCTCAATGCATCTCCAGACTCCAAAAATTGCATTTTGGAAAGCTGCTGCTAACCCAGATGCATCGTCATATCAATTTATGCCAGAATATCTTATCTTATGCTGCCTGGCCACAAGTAAGTGAACTGCTGTTATGCAAATGTCGAACTTGTAGAATTATACTTGCCGATTACTTGCATATTGTGTTTTTTTTCATCTATAAGAAAACTTCCTCCAACGTGTTCAATCTTTCATTCATAACTCAGATTCTTATTTTTGAAGAAATTGAAAATTTCTTGTTTATTCGGGCAGTTGGTTAGCATCATATGAAGATGTTTTTATCCTTTTTACCTCAGGCTGCTTAATTTTATATTCAGTTCCGCTCTTTGAAATTGTTTTTCCATCTAGTTGGATTGTTTATTAATGGTTCTTTAGACTTTAGAATATTAAATGTTCCATCATAGCTAGATTTTCAATATAAAGGAGTTGAATCAGATTGATTTAAAATGAAATTTCAGAAAAGATATGCATGTGCAAACCATGGGGAACATAGAGGTCTCCAGAGTTGACATTAGTGTCCAGATTATTTCAGAAATACATTTCTGGAATAAATAAATATAGTCATAAATTTAGGATGTGCTCAAAAAAAAATGTATTGTATCTGTATAGGAATGCATTCAAAGATGCATTTTAAATTTTTTTAGATCGGTTTAGGAGTTTCCATTTGTATCAATTTAGATTTGAATAGCTACTTTTAAACCCCACTCATTCCTTGAAAACCACACCCTTCAGATGGATAAATCGATAGCGATTTTCAAGAAACATGGTGGGTGGGAAAACAAGCTCCCAACAAGCTTGGCCTACACATGAGCCAAGCTTATTGCCATTAACGATTAGCATAACAGGAAACTTAGATGGCAAAAAAAAAAAAAAAACTCAGCTAAGGAACAGCATTCTAGCAAATAGGTGAGAACATAACTGAGAAACGACCTAGGATGAAAGTCCCACCATCACTTTTGGTGGGATATCAATATCAACATTGCAGTGACCAATAACTAACTAACCAACCATATACATTGCTGAAAACGAATAAATACAGTGGGATTCAGTACTACGGCGGATGTCCAAATGATAAACAAACAACAGTACAACACAAATTAAATTATCACACCGCACACCATCCAAAATAGAAAAAGTTTTCATGATCATGTCTGATTCCAAACCCTCGTCACATTGCCTGTCAAGTACATAAGAATCTTTGACATTTAGGATTCATTCAGTTATAAAAGATGTTAAAGGCATCAAAGATTAGTTAGATTCAAATGGGAAAGCAAACTTAGTTTCTGACTGATGGAACATAAATGGTGACCACATTTTAACCATAATACTTCATATTTTATTTATATTGCAAGGGGAAGAAAGTAAAATCAAATCTAAAACTCAAAGAAAACCTAATTAATGCCTAGCTTACTTGGTTGTTTACACTACTGATTTTGGATCCAGAGATCCTGCAGCACTGCCTTCACCTGTCATCGTATTATTCGGATCCTATACATGGAAAAAATGTTATTAGCAGTGTGCAAGATAAGCTAAAAATAGGAAGTGAGGATGTAGAGCATCTACCTCCATTCCCCATTTGATATAATCTGGGGATTCACAGGCTTTATATTCATCAACCAAACTCTCAATTATGTCCCTTGATTCATCAAACTCAGAGAGGTCATTATCCTGTTCATTTTTTACTTGTGGCATCAGATGAAAAGACAAGTATCTAATGACGATTCTACCAACCAAGTACATAATAGAAGCAGCAACAATGCTGAAAAGATTGATGCAAAATTGGAACACTTACGGCAAACATCGGGAACTTCCGATAGTTGTCTAAAAAGGCTTGTTTCCTTCTCAACTTATCGTACTGGCTCAGACATTTACTGAAAAGGTGGCGAATGCTAGTATGGCTAGCCAGCATGAGGCCACTGACCTAATAAACACAGAAGCACTCAGGTTATTCCTAACTCGCTTGATTATCCAACCTCAAAATAATAACCATTCCTAAAAAGATGTTAAACCATCTCCAACGCAATCATATGTGTGCTGCAGAAAGACAAGATAATCATAAAAACTAGGACTGAGAAAAAAACAATAGAGTCCTACCCTATGTGCAGTTTGAACATATGGAGACTTCCTGGATAGAGCAACCTACCAAAAAAATAAGATTATCATAAAACTAAATATGAAAGAGACAAAAGGATGCAGCTGCAGTAACTATAAATTGATTTGCCACAGATCACAGACCTGGATACTTGCAGGACCCCACTCGATAAAGTTAACTAGCTTTCTTTCACGTATCCTCTGCAAACTTTCATGAACCTAAATCCATAGAGAACGATAACATCACGATATAGATTAGCACAGTTAAAATATTTACATATTAGATACACAATACTAATATCACAAGCCAATCTAAGCAAGCTGCAACACAACTGAAAGTGCACGTAGATATATTACAAAAAGACTAGGAAAGCTCCACCAACATCAGTTGAAGATTTAATTACAATTTTTCAAGGTTTTGACTTGAGCATAAATCCTTCTATGTGAAAGCAGACAAAATATATAATGTTAAATAGAAGGAAATTGGTGCTTCATACAGGAACATTTGTAGAAGCTGATAGTGATAAGCATTATTAGTTTAACTATTAAGAAAGAAAGCACCTTTCTAATAAAATCACTGCAAAGCCAAATGAGCACTAAACAAACGGATGGTAAGTATGTTTTATAACTCTTTCAATTAACAAATGGAAAACTTCATATGTATCATCAATGCTTTGTGATTATTGTCATTACCTGAGTTGGGTCAACCTCTCCTTGGATGATATTCAGAATTGATATATATTTTGCTTGGCTGGCATCTTTGGTCCTTGCATAAGAAGAGACCATAATATTCTTTGCCTGCAAGGAGTATAAATGTCAGTGGATAACATAAGTCATTCAATTTGAAGATGAACTGTTTAAACAGTCACTCTACCTGAAGAAGTCTTCTCATGACATCAAGCACAGTGGTCTTACGAATTACATTAGCCTGTAAAGAAATATCAAAAAATATTAAATGTTTCCGTGAAAGGAAAAACGACATTCTTGAAGTGAAATGCATATTCCAATCAGATTATGGAAGAATTATAAAAAGGGACAGAAAGAGAGATGAATTAATATTTTCTCTGTAGATCGCTTCCAGTTCAACAAAGGACAAAAATTTAGAAAAAGTCTTGATGCTCTAAAGATCATTTTAAGGGGATCAGGACACAAAGATCTCACCTGACGTTCCACTGTCAAAGGTGTATATCCTGTCATTAGAAAATGGCATCTTGGGGTTGGAATCAACGAGGCAAGAAGACCAACCAAGTCATTATTCATGTATCCTGGATACCGAAGAGTGGTTGTGCTGGCAGACATCACAGTAGAAACTAGGGAATTAGTTTGAGCAAATGTCGGATTAGATAAATGAAGTCGTTCCACAGCAATTCTGTTTAGGGCAGTATTATCGAGAACCACAACACAATCAGCATTAAGAGTCAGCCGCTTGAGTGTCAAAAGCGAATTGTATGGTTGGACCACCACATCACTTGTTTCCATTTGGTTAGGAAATACACTGTATGTCTGAACCAATTTTTTGCTATATCGGTCATTCAGAGTCTCCAACAGGTATGAACCCATACCTGCATATAAATTTAAGGAATAACATTTAATATACAAGTAAATTTGCAAAACAAAATTAAAAACACAGGTGAGAAATATTTGAGATATCTCCAAGGCTTTCCATCTTGAATATAGGAAGTTCAAAGGATAAATAGGAATCCCAGCCATTATCAGTTAGAAACAACGTTAATTTGAGATAAGCTAAGAGGAGCACTCCTATTCTATTTCCTCTTTTAAGTGTAAGATTAATTTAATATTTGACTGAATTTGGACTTTGTAACAGGTGCAAATTCAATCAATCATTTCAGCAATTGGTGGCTTCTTCAGATGCACCGTCTAAACAAATGATTAATAAGAAAAAAGGGGGCAGATGAAGAAACTCGTATGATATTCTAAGGCAAAGATTACGAAAAGAAGAAAGAAACCTGAGCCTGTTCCTCCAGCAATTGAATGACATAGAACAAAACCCTCAAGACTGTCACTACCATCTGCTTCCCTATCAATCATGTCCATTATGTCTTCTTCAACATTCTTTCCCTGACCAGATATTAACAATCACACTAGTTAAACAACTACTCTGCATTCCAATAATGTAAGACATCACTTATAGGACATCACACATCAAAAACTTCACTTACATTTTAAAATAGTTGATAAAGACTCCTACGAACTGACTTATCAGGACTATAATGTGCAAAGTCATCTAAAAAAAACACAAATCAGAGCATCAGAGGCTTTTCTAGTTCTATAATGAATATTTTTCACGTGAAGCATTATTTTTCAATAGTTAGTGCTAGTTGTTGAAATTGAAATCCATTACAACTGCAATTACTGCAGCATTGTGTAATGGATTAAGTTTGTAATGAAGACAAATGTTACTTTTTATTGAATATGAGCAATCAAGCCAACTCCCAGTGTATAAACAACGAAAGAAAAGCAACCCATTTATAAGCAAAAGACACTAGAGTCTGAGTAAATGAAGGAGAATTAGAAGAGAAGTAGAAGAAGAAAGAAGGAAGAAACCCAAAGGAGAACGTTTAGAAAGGAAGAATAATGATTCTCACATAATCCACACTCTCTAATTTCTATCCCTTCTCTTATGCACCCTTACCCATATTCCTTCCCTAGATTTCAGGAATTATAACTAACTGTTATCCTTTCTGTCCATGCACTACTAATTTTACTGACTCATTATTTCTGTAGAATATTCCATAGCTTGATCTTGATGCACATTGCTAGAACTAGAATTAAAAAGGCATCAGCACACTAAAGAAAACCTAGTCACCAAACTTATGCTATAAGTTGCTAACATTGACAACCGTGTCAAGTATCAACTCAATCATCATAAATGTCTTCACAAGCAATCAAGCACACATACATTTAAACTTTATCTTTATGAATGTACACTAGGAAATAAATTGAGCATCAAATTCCCTGACACAGCACCCAAATACTAAAACTTCCTTTTCCCTACGACTGTGGTGTCATACCATGAGTTAGTCAACAACGACAACAAATTCACAATAAATAATCAGCAGAGATCAGAAAAGAGCATCTTCGGACTCAGAAGTGAAGTACCAAACTTTTAAAAAAAATGACATAGAAACCCTGAATACGAAACTATCTAGAGACAAACCTGATGATATCCACTAGCCCAATTGTTTCCTGCACCACCTCCATGATCAGAGACAAAGATGTTCTCATGATTGTAAAGATTCCGATAATCACTATTCTGAATCCCATTAATAACTCTCGGCTCCAAATCAATCAATAAAGCCCGCGGTATATAATGCTGATCATCAGCTTGATAAAAGAACACATCTTTCCTATCTCCACCCTACACCATTTTTCACCAAAAACAAATACACAACCAACAAGTTGTTTCATTTTAGTTCATAGTTAAATTAAACACGGCTAATTCAGTAAAAATCAAAAATCTTGCTACAAAATTGAAAAAAGAGAGACCTGAGTTGCGAAGTCTTCGAGGATGCCGTCTTTGCTGATGCCATGTTCAAGACAAAGCTGCTTCCAGAATTCCATGCCGATCTGGTTCCCGCATTGTCCTACCTGAAGAGTGATTATCTCTCTCGGCATTTTTGTTCTTCGTTATCGGAAAAACTAGGGTTTCGTAGCGAGGGAAAACCCTAGTTTGAACTGAAAAGGGAAAATGGATGATTTTGTTTTGGTTAGTGGATGCTTCAGTAACACTCGTTCACTCTCGCGTTCACTAATCATTCATCCACCACCACCATTCTCTGCTTTTGAACCGCCAAATTGCAATGTGTGTTTCTCTTTTCTTTTTCCTTTTTTTTTTCCCTTACTTTTAATTTAAAATATTTTTCTATTTGACTTTTTTTTAATAAATATTCTACCAATTTTTACATTTTATTTAATCTCTATGTTTGATAACTTTTATTATTTGATTTTTAAAAAAATCATTCTACATTGTATTTAATCTCTATATTTAGCAATTTTTATTATGGTTTACTTAAAAAAAAAAACTATTTAATGATTGTGTGTGAATTTTATTTATGTGTGTAATGCGGTGGACCGAAGGTGCACGAAGGATGAGTTTTTCTAGTATGATGATAGGAGAGTGGAGTAGGAAGATTTTACATAGTTAACATTTCAATACTTAAGTTAGTCAAATAGATATGACTTAAAAATAATAGATAGGGGTGTTCACGGGTTAGATTGTGTCTAATTTTATAAATACAATATCTGACCCGATCAATAGTCTTTAATTTAGGTTGAGAGTTTAATTCGTACTTACAAAACTAAATTCTAATCAAATCAATTCATTCATCAATGGATTGAATTGGGTTGGGTTGGATTTGTGAGTCATACACTAAATATATTTTTAAATTTTAAATAAAATATCAATTTAATTAACACATTTATTTTACAAAAACATTAAAAAATCATAAAATTTTAGTGTTTAATTTGAATAAAATTTATCGTTTAATACCTAAAAACTCTATCATACCCTTATTTTGTCCGGACATTTTAAAATTTGTATGCATTTGACTTTATTTTTACTTTGCATCATTTGTACATTATAACACGCCTTTCATCATGAATAACACCTAAAATGATGGTCAGAATAAATTCTCAAATATAGATAGAGATTGGTTGAAAATTTCCCAAAAATTTACGTAAAATCAGCGGACGAAAAGTTTTGAAATCGAGCTTGCAGACGTCAATCATATTAATCTACGATTCACGTAGTTTAACCTAGCGTTTTCATTTTATTTTTTCGACTACTGTTTCAGTCGCTTTTTTATCAGCTGGGCCTTTTAACCGGTCAAAATTTATTTCAAAATTTGACAAAAGGTTGTATTTTTTCAAGAAGTATATTCCGCGCTGATCATTTTAGTGCACTCATTTTAATTTTTCGGGCACTTTCGCGCCTGACTTTTATTCGTTTTTAATTATTTTTTATTCAAAATAATCATTTGATTTATTTAGAATTAATTGGATGTTTATATTAAATTTATCTTCAATAATTGATTTTCATACGTTATTATCAAATTTGTTTCTAACTTTCAAAATAACCAAAATATGAAGAAACTTGAGAAAGACGAAGAGCATTGGATCTTCCAAAACATTTCTCTCCTTCCACGTAAACAACTGACAATTGGGAGATGAAAAACCGATTTTTGTGCGCATAGAGATCCAAATGCACCCTTCATGGAGGACACTCACCAACCCACTCATATGCTGGCCATGCGTCCCACATGGAAAGGGAATTTTTTTTATCACCTATCTCACTTTTAAGGACCAACATTCCACTACACTCACGACTACCCACTAAAAAAACTTCCTGATAATATTCACTCTTCAAGCTTGAAACAAAAAAGAGGAGGAGAGAAAAACATTTTTGGCATTCTCCATCTTCTTCCTTGTGACTTTTTTTCATTCTTCCACCTCCCTTTGAACATACCATTTTCATTCAAATTTTCTTCCTCATTCTACAACAATTATTCATCATCTTCCTCACCTTCACATCCACCATAACAACTCTTCCACCATGCCCACAAACACTTCATTTTTTCTTCTTTGAATCAATCACTCCAACACTGTAAACCATTAACACCAAACATTTTTCTACTTCTTCAAAAAAAAATCACGGCTACACAAGCCACAACAACCGAAAAATCTATTTCTCTACACCATTCATCGTCATCACCACCTCCAAACTACCTTCAAACAACCTTGCTCCCAGTGACGGATCCAGAAATTTTAATTAATGGGGTCAAGGTTAATTTTTTTAATATAAAAATAAAAATCAAATAATATAAATATTTATAAAAAAATATAAATATGATAAATTGATTTATGTATGTAAATTGATTTATAATTAGAGTATGTATGTAAATTGATTTTTAATTTCTATTTTCTTTTTTAAAAAAATAATAAAATAAAATTAATAGTCAGATTTATGGTTTCTAGAACTCAAATTAAATGAGTAGTATGAGGACAATGATACATTTAATGTGGGGTCAATATTCCAAAATTAATTATTATTGGTTTTAAAATAAAAAATTAAGTGGGGTCACTTGACCCCATTCTACACCAAGTGGATCCGTCCATGCTTGCTCCGACCATCATATTTAGGCAAGAATCCATCTTCTGACGAACACAATTAACAAAATTTCAAAAGCTCAACACAAGTTAGCAGCAGTGTAAGCAACACAACAATCGTACGGTTTGTCGTTCAAGTTTTTGTCACCATTTTTTACGACATCGCATGTAGCTCACTTTCCTTTTTTTGTTTTTTTTATGTTGATATTTTGTGTGTGTTGGTTTTAAGTTAGAAATTGTTGATTAATTTTGAATATGAAAGAAATAATGTTTTTCGTTTGGATTTGAAAATATAGATACTATTGTTGTGCAGCAAGCATACAAGAGAGAAAAGTGTTGTGTTGATTTTTCATATTTTACTAATATCATTGCCTTCATATTCTTTATATTGTATTATTGTTATTTTAAAAAAAAAAATAATGAAGAAGGTGAACAACACTGGTTTTCTTCTTTATGAACGTCATATGCATGGCTGCAAATTTGATAGTTGGATGACATTGTTTTATTTATTTTGTTTGTTTTTCACTCTTTAAGTTTTTTTATTTTGTATATTTTATTTCATGCAGATATACTACAACTGAATAGACATGGTGGAGTGGTTGAGACCTTAGTCTCCCAACCACCATGTCATAGGTTTGAATTTAGGCGCCTTTTTTCCTCTTGTTTTCATGTTTTTCTCTTTTATTTTCCATTTTATAAAGCATCATATATTATATATATTAATGATTGCATATATTTAATAGCAATAGGACCATGGGGAATGGTTAAAGCTTCAAGCCTCTTGCCCCTATGTCTTGGGTTTAATCTCTTGTTGTCATTTTTCCTCATTTTTTCTCTTCTTTTTTTTCCTTTTTTTCTTCATTTCTTTTCACCCTTACTTTTTATTTTCTTTCCCATTTTGTCCACTTATTTTACCCCGATTACGGCCATTGCAAAAGCACCATTTTATTGACTAAAAAATGTGATACTTGTTGGATTTTTGTTTGGTTTCTTTGAATCTTTTTATTGTTAAACATTGGATTTTAATCCATGGATTCGACACTTCCCGTGTAGTTATTCCACCGATTATTTTATCAATGTATTGCTGGTATTTCACTGTGTTATGACCCTTGCGTACGACATTTCATTTGTTATTGATATGCACAAACCGATTTTGAGCACATTACCTAGGGTTTAACTTGCACCTCTCGAATTCATTTTGCTTTACACGTTCTTGTGTTATGTGACTTTGATTCGCATCCTAATTTTAATATGTGCGCGTCTTGATTTTACTTCTTTCAATTTAATTTTTGAACATGTTGTAAATATAACTTGTGTGTTACTATCTTTTCACAAGGTTACTCTTGAGCCTTATTACAATGAAATCATTCTCTTGCGCAGTTACACCTGTTTATTTATATTTGTTGATTGGGCTTGATTTAATTGTTTCATTATCTCGTATCCCCATTCAACAAAATGTATCCCTATCCTCATGTGATGTAATAACTTTATTGGTTTCATTTTGGTCGTGTTTTAATGCTTTATTCAATTGTTAATCACTTCAAGCATCACATTGAACCCTTTTCAAAATAAACTAATTCTCGATTCAATTTTGAGTCATTTTATACCTTATAAGTCTATCTCTTTTAAGCATCGCAATTAACCTATGACTTATTCTTGGGCTTTCTTACAATGAGCTTGTTTTGCACACACCCACATAACTTACTCTTGGGCTTCCTTACAATGAGACTCATGCATTTTTATCAGATGCTTATTTGAGTGATTAATCTATTTGTGTATGCTTATTTGTTTAGGCGTGTGTTTATTGTTTTACTTTTCTCCCACTCAACAAAGTGTATCTCATCTCTTAACCCTTGTAAGTCGATCGCCTTGTGCATCTTCATTAACCAAATCCAAAGTTTTCTTGATCCATACATCAAGCCATACCCAACTTGTAAGTTGATCGCTTCATCCGTCGCTATAAACCTTTCCCATTTCAATCTTAAATCATGTTCATAATCATCTCACAATGATAACCAAACGTTTAATCCAACGTCAAGCCATTTTCTTAATCAAAATAAAATAAAACACCTAATCATATTCAAACACTATTTCATTAAGGATGAAAAGGGGGGTGATCTCGAGCCTTAAATTCCTCTCTTTGATTACTTGGATACGAGTTGCCTTAGTGGACCATTTGAGTAATCGTCATCCATTAAAAGCTTTCACTCCGATTCACCTCAAAGTTCCTAACCAACCTAATCAAACTTTATTTTCCTAACAACTTAGATGAAAAAGAAAGTGGTCTGGAGCCTCTTATTCCCTTTCCCAAATGCTTGGATACGAGTTGTCTTACTCGACCATTCGAGTATTCGTCATCCTCTTAAGACACCTTAACAATATTAAATTCTTTCGCAATTAAGGATGAAAAGGGAGATGGTTTAGAGCCTTCGATTCTTCTCCTCGAGTACTTATATACGAGTTGCCTTACTCGACCATTTAAGTATTCATCATCCAAAAAAACACCCAGC